CAGTTTGTAACCATGCATTTCACACCAGCCAATCGGGAAAATGTTTGCTGATCTTAAATTAACACACATGCAGCTATGCTAATTAGCTTGTTTTCAATTTAGAAGCTAAAGTAAGATATCAAACATCGAAGCGCCAAAAAATCTGACCATTCAAAGGAACCTTTCCTCAATACAAATATGTCCTGTGTTTAAATGCATTCCAGTAACATCACTAACATTGGATCGTCAATAACAGTTGCTTGCGGAACCCTGATAGTCTTGATAGTCAGAGCAAGAAAAGTAGGTGCAGCATTGGCTTGAAACAGACAGATTTCAGACATCCAACGTTCACACAAACAACTGCATATGCACCTACTTCCGAATTCCCATACGATTACAACCCATGGCCGCCGACTGCTTTCATATTTCTATTCCACTGTGGCTAATTTCATATTTTTAGTCAATACTAACAGAAAACAGTGTTCACACTGACACCAATACTAACCTATTTGCTCATCCTCAGTTCCCCAATAAGTGAATAGAGGAAATGAAACATCGATTAACGCTCAGCTTTTGAACGAGCTCAGAAAACTGTGCGACATTTCCGAAGTGAAAAAGCTTCATATTAATATTCTTCTGTCATCGGCAAGAAAAAAATCGAAACAAAAAAATTGTTACTTGTAGTCGAATAACTGATTGAATGAGCTATCCCAACCGTCGTATTCAATTTCCAGGATTCGGCCATGATGTGCCGCTACAGTGGCTGTGCAAATCAGATTTGGCTCACATAAATCAACGGCCTCCAATTTTGCTCCAATCTAAAACTGGCTAACTGAAGCACCATGTTCTAGTGAGACAACTGCTTCTAAAGACGCATTCGGCAAAAAAAACCTCCTTCGGCCAGCTGTGCCTCCTAGCGGAACTTTCAAAATCTATGCAGTTGAGAGCTTTTCAGTTACATACGTTGCAGATACAGATTAAAAAAGCTGAGTAACATGCTGCACCGCATGGTACTCAGCTTTTTTAATTTGTAGAAGCACTGCATGTTTGTTTGGCCTTCTGAAAAGAAGTGCTGCCAGCACAACGGTTACTTCCGACAAAAGCACTTGGTAACCTTTCAGCCGAAGGTGTCCTTGGTATGCGTTTAAGCATCATCGCTTCGACCCGATGCTGCCACCCATAAACTATGATCAGTGGTGCCTTACTTACCAGAAACAGCAAAAAAAAAGTCCAACAAACACTGGTTTCAGCATGAAATAATATTTGGCGTGCCATTCAAGACAAAATCAACATTTCGCAGTTTTTCTTCCATTTCGTCCAAACGAGTTCAGTATTAGAAAAAGAGCTAGTACCTTCTCTTCTTCCTCCTCCGCCCCCTCCCACTGCCCTTTTCCTAGTTGATTCTCTGCGTAGAAAGCATTCGGAAGTAGTCTGCATGAAAAAGCTTTACTGAAAACAAAAAAATTAACCTTGAAATTGCTTAAAACGTCCTCGCTGAAATTTTCGAAAAGACTTTCGGGCGCAGCAACGCTTTGGCTTTGTTTTAGATATGCTTCCCATTGAAAAACTTCTAAAAAGTTCTTTACTTTATTAATAAAACTTCACTACATCAATAAATAGCTGTTCATGCTCCTGCCCATTTTTTAAAAATCAAAGCTTCGAAATACAATTAATTCTAAAATCAGACACTCTTCTAATGCCCAACTAGAAGCACTTATGGCTAAAACCAGTGCGACGCGAGCCGCTTGTTATGCTGCCCAGTTACATGGTGCTTCAGTTAGCTAGTTTTCTACAATCATGCCGCAATCAGCTTATTATTTGAAAATATTTATGTCACGTACTAGCGAGAAAGAGATCGCGTACATGCTTCGGATTACCACTGGACGTTGACTGGAGGCAAAGAGCTCTGAATTGGCTAGTCTATCGTAGCCTCGCTAGGTACAAGGAATATCTCAGAGGTTAACATCGGAGAGCCACACCGATTCTCCGAGCGAAGTTGCTCGCAGTACTCATGCGTTAACCTCGAATTAGTCTACAGAATTCTTGGGAAGAAAATGCAAGCAGCACAAATGTATTCTAAGAGAATTACGGCTACCAAAATCCATTCATTTGGAGGCAGAAAATTTTCTATAATATGAAAATTCACGTGCTCCTGTTGGGCCTTTCAAACGTAATCCATGTTTCTCGGCGTATCCCACCGGAAATAACAGCTCCGAAGAATAATGAAGTGGCACTGGGTCCTCTTCCATTTCTTCGCCATCAAAAACAATCTAAAGGAAACAGAAGTTAAAATGTAATAACACATCATCAGCGTGCACGTTGAGAAAATAAGGAGTATGAAAGGCACTCAGTCTGCCTATGCGAAAATAAAAAACAAGAGAATCTGCATTAAAAAGCACTGCCAGCAGTATTGAAGTATTGATGGCAAGAAGGAGCACGAATGTAGCTCATCCGCTCTCCGGGATGAATTTATATCTTTTCTACCCATTGGACTGAGAAGTATAACCTTGAGGTAACCATCTTCCATGATTTCATAAACGGTTGCCACTCGTAATTCTCTCCAGTTATCTAACGGATCCAACACCTCCAGCTTCATTTTCTCCTCCCAACGTGGCCAACAGTTTGTGATCGGTGGTCCAACGTGTGTTTTGAAAAGTGACGCGTTCGCATCATGCTCGCCGTATGGAACATCGGGTAAACCCTGCAACCACAAATTCTATATTTAACAAACGAATTTCAACGGGAAAACAAAAAAAAAATAGAAATTAGGATTCTTCCCTACTTTAAGCTTGCCGAATTCAATTTGTTTCATATGGGTGCTCTTTTAAACTTACAAAATAAAGAATATCCCGTCCGCTACTAATATTTTCATAGCAATACAGAAGTCTGGGAAGAATTGCTAATAAGTGAAATGAGAATTACACGAGTCGAAGAAAACAGCAGACTGTTTTACTTGAAATGGACAAAGACTAAGGAAACGATCTTCAGAACCAGTAATCTCAGTTAGCGTTTCGACAACTGCAGAAAATTGGTGGAGCAAACGTATGTTATGATAAAAGAACTCAGAGTATGGTAAAACAGTGCACCAAAAACCAACTCAAAATTCATTCGTTTGCGGATTTGGATAGTGTAATCAACAAGACTTCCCCGTAAAATGTATGAACTTTAACGAAAGTGAACTTCTTACTTCCACAGTTTAACGTGGCGATCACTGCCCTGCCACACTTACCAAGTCGAATTTATGAATCTATATGTACGGCACTCATATACGTCAGCAACACAATGCCTACCCTTATTACCACAAACAACGCATAGTTTCCAGTTTCCGTCGGCTTTCGTAGACATTTGCAACAGATGCGTCGATCGATTATCACAAGCAACCAGCGAAAGTCAAACCAAAGTCAAACCGATTGCCAAAACCATCTCTAGCGATTGAATGGTAATGCAGATCAAACTCTAGGCATATCAGTACAGAAACTGCTCAAAAAACTACAAGTAATTTCTCCTTCTTGGCACTGCACAGAGCACTACTTTTAGCTTGTTATGGTGAAACTGACCACTGTGTCACTGGAAAATTACCCGAATTTGCAGCAGTGCCGATGTAAAACTCCAATTTTACTGAGATATGCACACTGGCCGTTCAAAAACATGTCAATGTTAATATTTGGCTAAATAGAAAAATCAAAAAATCATACTTTTTCTAATGCTTTTGCAACTTCCTTTGCATGTCGCTCATACTCCTCACTGGCAAATAATCCGTAACGATTTTTACTGGCCCAGCCAACGTGAAAAAGTAATGGCGAGTCTTGATCCATCCAAAACCCTTCAGTAACCTGAAAGAGATTAGCAACTGAAAACAGCAGTTGGATAAAATAAGCAAAATAGCCGGAAACTTCATCTGCTTTTCAAGTCTAATATTCACATTCATTGAAGTAGGACCAAGGGATATTAGAAAGCTGTTGAGAGAATGCTGAAAGCGAAGCTGAAGTAACATATCCAAGCAACCGCACCTTATAAATCCCTTAACTTTTAAATGCAACATACAACGATGTATGAAAAGCTCTCCTGTTATGCGTTTTTGCATATACGCAAATGCAAAAACGCATATTGTGACGACCTCGGTATGTGTGTGTGCGTCTGTCCGGGCATTTCAACTCGGCAACCAAGCAAGTTCCGGCGCCAAAATTTTGTCAGTGAGTTCCACGGCCAAGTGCAGTTTCAGGGCCGCAGCAACAATCCTCACGCACGTCCAGGACCCGCCTACGAGCGTAAAATCGCTAACTCGGTAACCATGACAGCTGGAGAGCTGAAATTTTTAAGGAGACATTCCCAGCCTACGTACAGTTTAAATATTTCAAATTCAGTCCCAGGTAGCCGTTTCTCACGTACGACCCCGTGAAAGTTTTGTCGAAAAAATCAGTTGAAAGCCAGAAAATTAGGAGGTAGAAATTTTGAAAGGACATTCACCCTCTGAGGTGTCAAATTCAGTTTTCACGCATCGGTGCGTGAAATTTTTAGCGGGAAATTTCGCAACTTAAAAACCAGACAGTATTTCAATTATTTTTGCACAGACCAAAACGCAAAGCAGTACAAATCCTTAGCAGGTAAACGCTTACTGGACGTAAACACATAAGATGCATGAACGCATCGGCTACCCTGGTGAGCACCGATATTTATTGCAGTTGCTCCATCAATACTGTGACATCTGCTAGTCAACATGCTCTTTTTTATGCCTTTTTTGCCGTGCTTGAAGGAATTACCAGCTCAACAGTTTTTCCGACAGGAACACTCCGTAAGGCAAGCCGCTCCGTTGGATGTGTTAAGCACCGCTATCATCACAACCTGAACATTGCTACTCCTAAACCACGACTTGACACCTTACTGATTAGGGCACCTTCATATAAACCAATACTTACGTTACTAAAATTATAAATTATTATGCAAAAGCGCTGAAAGCGGCTGCAAAACTTATCATTCGCTTATTAGGCGATTGATTTCAAGGAACGCTATTCTACTGGGAAGTAAGTAGGACCAGTAGCATCAAGAAATAAATGGCAACGCGCACCAGACTAACCGGTGCGATCATGCGTTTTGTGCAATTCAGCCCATCGAACGATTGCCCGTTAATGATTTC